ACAGCTTTGTTTGTAAATGAGACTTCTTCAGAGGGTCAGAGTCAGGTGTCTTGAATGAGGACTAAGTCCATGGAAAATTTAATTTGAAAGTCTTCAAACTTCTTTCAGTTAAGAAAACAAACATGGCAGATGGAAACAAACTTTGGGCTGGATTCTGAAATGATATCTGGCTTCTTTGTGGTGCAGAGAGCCGGAATCTGGCCACAAGTAGCCAGCAGGGAATTTCCTTGGAATAGGAGTGTGCCAGTGAAAGAAATCGGCAGGGAGGAATATGGCAGAGCAGAGCTTTGTTACATAAGGTCCATTCTATCATTGGCATAAACTAGAAGAGCTGCTCAAAGCCTCACTGAGCCCAGGGCTGGTGGAGATCAGCTGTTAAAGCGTTAAGGCTTCCCCACCTTATCTGTCAGTCCATCCAGTCCTGTCCTTGTCCCTCTACTGGGAAGTGGAGCTCTCCTACAAGAGACAACAATAGTTTAAAAAAAAAAAAGTAGTTACCTATGTTTGTGTTTAACAGCAAGACAGTGCAACTGTAGGTCTCAATTTTATGAAACTGCAGGCCAAATAATAAATAAATAAATAAAATTTTCAAGGAAGTCAGAGGGACCCAAAATTAAAGGTTTACAAAGAATATGTGGAACGTGTGTCATGTTACCTAGATTATAGTTCTGTTTGGGCATACTTAAAATGACATGGTGAATCAATCCTTACTGTGGTTCTGCTAGAATTTTATCTCTAGATGTCTGCTCCCCAGTGAATTACCTCAGCCTGTTTGTATTAGACTTTAACAGTGAAAACCATTATATTTTTTCTGACTTGAGTAAAATAATTCCAGTTTCCTGCTTAAAGGAATTTACAGTCAACTGGTAAATGACGCTTCAGTCTGGATATTACCCGAGACGGAGGGGAATCGTTGTCTTTCAGTTGGTTTGCCAAATGCACCATGCTAATCTTTATGTAAAGTTTCTTTCCCTGTTTTATGGATGATAATTGCATTTCCTCTCTCATGTACCAGCATGTTGACATCACTCCCATGTACTTCACTCTTCCCCAATCCCTGCAAGAGGGCTGCTGCTGCTTCTGAATCTGGGCCAGGAAAATCTCTTTTTCAAAACCTCTGGTGTTGGGGAGCAGCACGAATTGGAGGAGAAAGAGGGAGCCAAGGACTGCCTTCTGTATACTCCTCAGACCCCTGTCTGGGGAAGAGACTTTTCACTGCCAAGGACTCCGAACCTCCTCCCCTAGGACTTACAGAAGTCTCTCACGGTCTCACATCCTAGGCTGTTGTTGAACAGGCAGGCAGGAGTGGGCACAGAGGAGCAGGAAGGAGGGCAGGTCTAAGCATGTTTAGTGGAATTCTTGCACCACCCATTGTCCTTTGTTGAGAAGACCCCTGTAAATTTCAGCAAGGAAGCAGAGAAACTCTTAACTGCTTTTAAATATTTTTAATTTCAGTGTTCTCAATCACAGCCTTTAAAGGCATACTGTCAACTGAAAATTTTTTGAACTTGGCTAAATTATAAAAAATTAATCTGCCTATCATGTAGGCTTCTGTAGTGCTTTTGACCCCAATATCAGTTAAAAAGTGTTCCTGGATTTAGGATCCAAGGTCACCTTTTGAAATGTGCCTGGAGTCAAATCCCTTCAAACACTCTGCTGCTGATCAGTAATTCACAGGTATCTGAAACAGGCATGTTGAACAACATTTCAGTGAATCAAAATAATTGAAATATGCATTGGCTTTTAAAATTGGAACAGGACTGAAAAAATTGTTATGAACAAGAACAAAGTGAAAGATGAGAGGGTAAAAAACTATGGGAGCTGCTGTCTATGGGGGGCCGTAGCTGTGCTTAACAGTGCCTTCTGTAATGAATGGACTCAGTTTTTATAAACCAAATTGTTGTCTGCTTCAAGAACAATGTCCAAATGTCCCCAGTCTTAAAACAGTGATTTGTTCCATCCGTTGTGTCCCGAATGGCCACATGAGACGACAGAAGTGGAGGCAGGCTCACAGTGTTCTCAGATCTTTTCTACCACCTGCTTGTTTTTTCCCCTCTTGTGTTTTATTTTTAAAGGAAACTGTATTTGTAAGCAGTTTAGACAATGGGAATTGTAATTGTGCACAAACACAATACAAATGCCAAATTAAACGTCTTGTCTGATCAATAATTTCCATTAACAATTTCTGGCTATGAACATTTTTTCCCCTCAACCCCTTTGCCCTTCATTGTTCAGTTCCTTATTCATACTAACCCAGACAAGTAATGTATTTCTTGGGTTGGTCACTCGGTCATCAAATCTACATCCTCATCTCTCCCATGGCATGCACTGATTTGCCTTTTAATTCTGAACAATTTATTAAAATAGTCTTGTGTTCTGTCCACTGGACGGTGTTGCTTCATGTTATGCTTGACGGTTGTACCTATTAAGATTATAAACAGTTTCTTGTGGTGTGTAGCACAATTGGAACCCATCCTGATTTAAGTTCTCTAGGCACCACGATGTCATATTGTCCTCTTTCAGAGTGGCCTTAAAACTGTAGCTAACTAGACATGTCCAGTGAGATGTGCCAAATAGTAAGCTAAGGGTGAAGGAAATTTTTAACTTGTTCTATTTAGCAACTAAATTTTGAGAGATGGGCATTCTTTCTTCAGGAACAACAGATGCAGGTGGCTTGAAAGGAAGAATGCTCTAGAATTTAACAGGATCGCAAAAGTTTTGTAGGAAAGCATCTTTATTTCATGGAATTTTAAGGTAAAAACTATTTATGAATGATAGCTTTGTTGGTTATAGCTTACATCTGGAAACCAGTTTCATTCCTCTTGTGACTTACCTAGACTGTGGAGTGACCACAGTTTTTAATCTACCATCCTTGCAATGGTCTGTTATGCTGTACCTTTTTTTTTACCAATTTGTACACCTTGCACAATCAGTTATGCTGAATGAGGTCCCAGTCTAACTACATTATTTAACCCTGCAAATATGTTCATTTTCTCCTGAGAACCCTGAGGCAGGATATACAGTACGATATGTCCAACCGAAAAACTATTTCAGACTCCATGGAGCTGCAGTATGCTAAATTGTAACAGGAATGTGTGTTGGACAAAAAAAAAAAATACTAGAAAGAAAGAGAGAAAATATAGTACATTGCATACACCTCACAGAATTTGTTTTTGGTTTTAATCACCTTTTCTAGTTAATTTTTAAAGCTCTTACTTAATGTGCTTTTCTTCACTCCTGTCATGGTTATTACTTATCACATTTATTTCCGGTTTGTGTCATTTTTGTATTTTCCTTTCGCTGTCACTTCTCCAGCTATTTTCCCGTAGCCTTTTTTATTTTGAATACTTTTAACTCAATCTTATTATGCAGATCAGTAGCATCTTGGAGTGGTGGTTGTGCCACACCACATTTATAGTAGATGCCAGGGTTTTGTGTAGCGTGTATATCTAGTATCTTGTCTGGACTTGTCTTCGTTCTGCCCCAAGCAGGTCCTCAAGAAATTCTAGTTCTTAAAGATTGATATTCTGCAAATGTTAAGGTGTATTTTATGAGCAAAAATTAGCCAGACTTTTTACTCCGTCCCCTTCCCTCTTATCTATATTTGACCCAAGTTCACTTTTGTGTATGAAAGAGAAAATTAGTTGTTTAACTATATTATGGTTTATAGATGCCTTGTGTTTGAATTTATTGGCAACAGTGGCCGCTATATTATTTCAGATAGACAAGTATCTACCTCATGCTGCCTTTCTAGTTTGAGTCTTCAAGAGCAATATAAAAATTATAAATATTTTAAACACAAAAGAACCTCATTAATCTGACGGCTACCCCTCTGATCATTAATCTGAATACCCCATAATTCTTGCACTCAGCTGTTTTCTCTCCCTGCTTCTCAAAGACTTAATATCATAGTGCTGTACTAAGAATGTATTACCTCTTACAACTAAATGACTTGCCAAACGAACAAAGCATGTTTTTTTGATTTCTCACTATTTTGCTTATTTTTTAAATGAAAAATTCAATAATTAGCAGTTCTCAGCATGTATTAATAGGATACCACTGAATATGTATCCTTCCTGTAGGTAAGAAGTGAAATGGTCTCAAAACAAATCTAGACTGAGTTTCTGTTTGAATCCCAGAGCCTTGAAAATAGCCTGCCTTACTGGCTTCTGCAAAGCACTTCACCCTGCCCCACCCTATTGCATGCACAGATTGCACTACACCTATTCCTCCTCTGTGACTAAAAGTTTGTTTCATCAGCATCTGTTTCTGTTCTACTTTTGGAGCTTGCTTTGGATTGGGAAGCTGCTCAGAACAGCAGTCTATTTGAGGCACATAGGGGCACTTGTCACTATAGTATAATTTTTAATGGAAAATGTCTTTCTCAAAGGCTGTCGGTACCCATTGTTTTACAGTACATGAACAGTTGGCTAGTCCAGGTGTTTCCTCTTTTGTTTTCGTGATATGTGGATTGGAAATTCAAGAGAAGCCTTTGCAGAATGGAAGAGCTGAGGGTTTGTATTTGTCTGTCCTAACTGCATAGCAATGGGTGGGATTTGGAAAGAAACCCAAATCCTGTGTGCTTTTTAATTTTAAAAAGTGTGTATTGTTTTTATCCTTTCTGACTCCTTTAAAACTATTAGTATTTGTTAGTGACTTTACCAGCTCTTAAATAAGCGAATATTCCTATCTTATATATAATAGTTTTATAATTAATAGTATTCGGAAACCGACTTTTTTATTCAACACTAATGGTTCTGTGTTTTGTTTTGTTTTGTGGGTTTTATATTTATTCAACTTAACAATATTTAAGTTTAAAAGTTGAATTGATATTAAAAAAAAAAACAACTAATACCAGTCTCTGATGCAATAAATTAAAGTTGCAGGCTGAAAATGAGATTTAGTGATAGGTGGCTATTCGCTGCTCAGTGGGCATCTGTGTCTTTGGGGCAGCCGGGCAGCCTTAAGGAAATTCCTGACTCATATCTGTCTCTTTACAGGACAGTCGGCCAAATATGTCAAGACCTCTGATCACTAGATCCCCTGCATCTCCGTTGAACAATCAAGGCATCCCCACTCCAGCACAGCTCACAAAATCCAACGCACCAGTTCATATTGATGTGGGTGGGCACATGTACACCAGCAGCTTGGCCACGCTTACTAAATACCCTGACTCCAGGTAAGGGTAAAGATTGCATTGCATGTATTTTGCCATTCATTGATTCAGATTTATGCTTAGACGTTATGGGACTCTATTCTCAAAATGTTACATTTCACTCCTTTGCTTTAAAATGAGCTTAGTGTTTCTGAGTAGGTGGAAGGTTGATCTTTCTTCCTCTCCTACCGTACACCTTAGACTAAAGACACACATATTGGCAAATCCCTTTTGTTTATGAGCTAAAATAAAGTTGGCACCAAGGCAGATGTTCTTAACCCTTGCATAAAGTCTGTTACTATGCACTAATTTTCTCTGACTTCATATATGAAAAATCTAATGACATGGTTACAAATTTACATACAATTTAAAACAACATTTTTAGCACCAGTTACTTTCCCACACTGTTGACCTGTAATCCCAGACAACACTGTTTTAAAATACAGTTAAGATTGTAACATGTCTAATAGCACTCACTTAAAACCTTATTAGATCATTTGTATTTTTAAAACAATTGCAATTATCTGTGGAATCCTAAATCTGCTCTTATATCCCCAATTATACGCGAATGGCTTGGGGATCCCCATAGATCATGAATATTAAATAATGCTAGGAAATTTTTACATCCACAGACCAATTGTGTGATGTCAATGGAGTAAAGTTCCATCGTAGAGCTGGGGGGATGTCTATTCTCTTTTATTTAAAAAAAAAAAAAAAAGCACTGAATATACTCTTGATAAGCTTTACATGGGCAAGATTTTAATTCCTCACTCTAATAGATAAAGACATAAAAAGTCTCACTCCAAAGTCGGAAAAAAGGAGCTACGCACAAAAGTGATGTTCAAAATTAAAGCTGGCCAAGATATGGGAATTCCTTTCCACAAAAAATTTCAGTTTTTGCAACATTTTTGTCCTGAACTGGGATGAAACATCAAAAACATAAATTTTGTCACAGGAAGAGATTTCAAGAAAAAAATCAGCCTTGGTAGAACCAAAAACCTCTGGCTGCTCAGTTCACCTGAGCCACAAGCTCCAGGAGCTGGAGAGTCAGAGAAAAGGAAAATTCTGCAGTAAAAGTTTTGCAAAGAGGGCATTTTTTGTTAGTAAATCATTCAGACTAAATTTTTTTTTACCAGTTCTGTACAGAACATCACAGCTGGGCTATTCAAGCATCCTCTTGTATAGTATTTCTTGTTGGTGGCACCATATCCCTCCTGTTTAAATCACAGGTATAATTTAGGCATTTTACAAGTGCTGTAAATGTACATTCACTGCACAAGTCAGTGTACTGCTTCTGCTTTGAGTTTCCTCCACATTGCAAATTACCATATTTCCTGATTACAGTCCTGTCACATGACTGCTCTAAGTGTCACACTTCACACCTACTGTTCATCTAGTTCAATAACAATAATAGAACCCTTGGAACAATTATGCTGTTAAACCATTTAGCAGTTTAAGCTCTTTGCTTTTATCTGTTTTTTGGTTAAAAAAATTTTCAGGTTCTGTAGCTGTACTTTCCTTTTTTTTAATAGCACATACAGTCCATTTTAAAGCATAGGGTTCTGTTCTGAGCATACACATCACTGCAATGACACTTTTTTTTTTTTATTCTTCCCTCTGCTAATGCAATATAGCTTATAGTTTTAGTAAGGGTGACAATAGTATTATAATACTAAAGGCACGTGGAGAGAGAGAAGAGAATGCTTATGGAAAGAAAGAAAAACAGAAAATAAAAAGTTTATCCTACCTGATAGGGCATTTATTTTCAGAACAAGGAGCACTGCCTCTTGTGTGTGTGTATCAGAAGGGGGAGACCAAGGCATCATGAAGGGACAAAAGAAATACAAGAGATGTGATTCATCCAAGAACTGAAAATTTTTCTCCTGGTCCAGCAACAGTGTAGGGAAAAAATTTAACCCTGAAAGCATTTGTAGTGGTCTACAAAACTGGTTCTAGCCTTGTTGGGAACCTCTCTTAGGGAAGTGAAGAACAACCATATGAAGTGGAGTTCGGGCAATTCAGCATGTCTCAGGATCAGGCTATTGATACAGTCATGGAAGCTTTAAAGAAATATTTCTACTCCTCTTGTTTTCCTCTTCTAGGAAATTTGAGAAACCATTTCTGCTAATATATGCAGCTACTGTTTCCAAGTTAGAGGCAATATGCTGGTCCAGCAAATTTAAGTGACCAAAATAAAACATCATATGGGTGGGACGGAATTTCAGCTTAATCTTTTCTCCTCTCAGTTCAATGTGCCATTGTAACACTTTATGAAAGTGGAAATGGCAGCTGCCTATGTTAGAATCAAGAATTTAATAAATTTAAAATGTAATAGCAAAAGTACTGACTTTAAAGAAAACAAAACAAAACCCACAACCGCTAGGTAACAGCTGTCTTGTTTCATGTCATTGTGATAACCTCTTTTGTTTCAAGTCTGCACTGTTTTTGTTTGTTTGTTTGTTTTTGTTTTAGTAGTCCATGTCTCTTGAACCAGTAGATGAGTGAGTTACACAGATTTAACTACTTGATAGTGGGGATTCACAGCCACTTCTAGAAAGTTTTAAAACACAATTTTTAGTATTGGCAGCCTCAAAAGAGCAATTACTAAACCAGTTTAGAAGTCAAGTCAAGGGCTGTGAGGTGATAAGATGGTAATCATGATGTGACTTTTATTTTATTTTTATTTAAGGTCAGATATCTCACAGTCTTCCAGCACACTCATTTATTTTTATATCTATTGAAGAGTTGGAAATATAAACTTTCCAGTGATACACTACATTAAATTTTAGCCCCAGTAGTTGACAAGATCCTGACATTCAACCTTACATATATAACTGGTCCCTTGGATTAGCAGGTTTTTGTGGCAAAATTCCAGAACTTGAATCAGTGTTACTGTTGATTTCTACTTTGACTAAGGTGGAAAACAGAAAGAAGGCATGATTCTTGTAAAAATGTGGACCTTATATTAAATGCCCTCTGTTGTTTTTCATTGGAGGCACAAGGTCACAGTTTCACATCTCCCCAAAACAAACCATGAAACTGACATGGTTCAGCTGAGATCTTGTCTGAGTGATTGTCCACCTGGATTCCACTCTGGGTGTATATGCGCGCAAGATCGGATTTTTTTTGGCCAGTAGTGCTTATGGCCATGCTTGCACCTATAGTACCCTAATACATCCTTCTCCCCCAGCCCCTCCACCTAAGGGCATAAAGCCCAACTATCCTTTGGTTCCTTCTTTTTGCCGAAAGCTGTGAGATGGAACCCGTACAGCATCCATCCTTTCTTTGCACACTGGTTAGTCCTGCTTAGTTGGCTAGAATCCTAACTAGTTACTTTATTTAATTAGTTGAATAGTTAATAGCCTATTGACTAAATACTTATTAATAGCTTTGTAAATAAGCTTCAATTAGGATAGATCCTACTTTCGCTCTATAGACATGTGCTAGCAACAGGGCAGAAGCTAAATCTCCAAGATTCAGAACCTGTCCTTTATGATATGCTTCTATGCCTGATGGCAACTGGTGCTCCCAGTACCTACTCTGCCTAGGCGAGAGACGCCTCCAGTAGCAATGTTGGCATGTCATTCTTCTCAAAACGCACTCAGAGCCAGGGAAGCTCACGTGAAGTTGTTCCTTCTTAACAGCTCCAATGCAAGCTTCCTTGAACACCGAGAGGAAGGCTACAGCCAGGCCTCACTCATATAATCAGTCTCCCTTAAGGTACATCTACATTGCAAACAAAATCAAAAACACAGCAATGGGTCTCAAAGCCTGGGTCAACTGAGTCAGGCTCATGGGGTTTGTGCTACAAGACAAAAGATAGCAGTGTAGATGTTCCTGCTTAGCCTGGAGCCTGGGCTCTGAAACCCGACAACGGAGGGTGAGTCTCAGATCCTGGGCTTCAGCCCAAGTGGAAACACCCTACCTACACTGCTATTTTTAGCCCCATAACATGAGCCTACTCAGCTGACCCGAGCTCTGAGACTTGCTGCCACAACTTGGTTTTGGTTTTTTGCACATACCCTTATTGCTCCAGAGAGCTGAGATTCCAGTCCGAGTAGCCCCATCTCCTCAAAGGCCCCATTCATCTACTATCTTGGTATTTCTATCCTCTGAAAGGGGCAGAAAGGAGCATTGCTCAAGGGATGAGCCAAGGCACAGGTCACTATCTCTGGCACCTAGCAAATTGAGACACGAGAGTCATCAGACACAATTTGTCTCAGGTGCCATCTTCTAAGGGCTAAAAGCCTGCAAAGGCACCAGACAGTGTCTCTGTACCAACTGCTAGGAGTGCACATACAATAAATTAAATTGGTGGAGTGTGTTTCTCTTGATACAGGTCCCAGCGCAGAGTGCATTGGTACCAGGAGCGTTGACAAAGAGTGCTTCAATACTTGGAGCTTTGGAACAATGTCTTGTGGTAGTTAGTATCTCAGCACCAGCTATCTTGGTATCTAAACCATACATAGCACAGAGTGACTTACTGTGAGCCCAGTATCTGTCATCTCTCCTTGAGAGATTGAGCGTGGTGGTATCAAAACCACTAGGTCTTATGATAAAAAATAAGTAAAGTAAAAAATCATCTGTATGTCAGGTTAAAGAGGCATCCTATCTCCAGTAGTGACTTCTCCTCCATACAGGCACAAGATCCTCTCAATGTAGTGGCCCCTCTCTGGGAGGAAGAATACACCTTTTCTCCTTCTTCTCTGGGCATAGTAGGGACTAGTCTTCCACCCCTTCCTGGGTAGCCCAGTGAGAGTTTGGAAAAGATTCAGTGAGAGGTATCAGGAAAAGACATTGCGCTCATAGCCCTCTTTCTACCCTCCAGGTGTCCCTCACTTCAGTATTCATATCCTTACCATCTGAGGCCCTATTGGATGCCTATGGCATAGCAGTACTCCTGAGAACCTGTACTATCCACTGTCTCCAAGACTAGAGCACCCTCCCCAAAGAGAGTTTTAACTATGTCACAAAAGCAGCTGGTACAGCCTCAGATACTGGACAGAAAGGAGGAGGAAAGTGAG